CGGAGGGCTGTGCTATAGACTTACCTCAAGAGGCCTGAGGATAGGAGTGCAGGCTAGGAGAGTTAGCCGGTGGTGCAGGTCCAGGGGAGCAGAGAGAGGTGAGGGCGGGGCCTGGTCCAGAAGCGGTGCTCCTGGGGCCCAAGAAAGGCACTAAGTTGGTCTGGGTGAAAAGGATAAGGAAGCAGTATTGGTTCCCCAGGTGTCTGGGGCCCCAAGACTAGGAATGGCACAGGGCCCAAACTAGGAGTAGAGAACAGCGGGGGAGATGGAAGGGTGAATGTGGCTGGGTGAGTCAAGGCACGGAGAGCTGCGCTATGGACTTACCCCAAGTGGCCTGAGGATAGGAGCCGAGCCTTGATCTTCTTAATCAAGTCAACCAAAAGGTTAAATAAGGCTATGGGTTTAGATTGAAATTAATTTGAATTTAGATTCAAAAGAAGGAACATCAATGATTTGTACAATATAAAGAACTGGAACACGATGAAGTCTACCATCTTAAAATGGAAGCTAACTTTTAAAATATTTTTAAAGTAACATGAGGACAGTTTGATTACAATTAACAACAAACCAAACAATACTGATATTGAGATAATACTAAACATATGGCCTAATACAATAAATCAAGGAATTGCTGCTAGCTGTGGCAGAATACCATTGTGGCTATATGTTTCAGAAATATACGCTTTAGTGTACAGGGAGAGATAGCACGCTAAGCAACCACTGAGAATCTGCCACACACACCATGTGAAGCCCAAACAAACACACTGAAGCATACAAAGTAAAATGCAGAACCACCAAGGGTCTACCTCACCCAACACTGCAAGTCCCCCAAGAAGCCTCATCAGCATTAAAGCATGTCCTTGAACTATGTGCATTATGCCCAACTCGGGAAGAAAAGTACTGAACATATCCCTCCACAGGTACTGTGCAAAAAAATGAGAGGGGAGAGGAAGAAGCATGGGATCTATATTGTGGCAGACGTGACTTTACAAAGTGGCACGGCCATGCTGACTAGTGCGGACCTCTGCATGTGTGCTCCAAGGCATGTTGTACTTACCAGGGCCTTTTACATTAGCAGGTTTAAGACATTTTCCCTTAACCATTCCAAAATACAGTGGAGAAGATGGTAGGACACAGGAACCAAAATAAAAATAATCATACCATGACAGCAAACAGTGATATGGTGGAACTATTTTAATGAAGCATTCATTTTAAGGACAGGGTCAGTGATTAACTCATTCAAATATAAGTATACATTATTTGGAAATTAAAACTATCAAGGTTATTATCCTAATGAGCAAATATTAAGGTACTTTAATAAAAGTGCTATTTTATAATTTACATTCCATTTTTAAATAAACTGATAGTTCATGTTAACTATGAAACATTTAGTTTTAATCAAGATAAAAATGGTAGCATGAACAATTAGTTCTTTCATGCAGTGTCAGTTGAGAGGTTTCCTTAATTTTACCTGTGTGCCTCCACATGAAAAGAAATCTGAAAAGCTGTTAATTGGTAAGCAGCCACATAGCTGCTATACACAAAAGGGTGATACCCTGCCAGCACGGAGAGTATCTTCCCTGGACCAGGGCATCTCTGAGAGTTCAGGCAGAGTAGTCAGGCTGATTTCTAACACAGCAATCTTATTCCCAAACATGGAGGTGAGTATCCACATTGCCTGTGGAGATAGTCATGATTAAAGTGTGGTTAGACCGAGAAGTCTGTACAGAAACCACATCTCTCCAGTTGTAAACACAGCTTTAGCAGTTAGACCTGCTCCATGTGTGTTAACAGGGGAGAGCCGTGTACAGTAAGAAAGAATTTCACATATGAAATCTCAGGAAGCCTACTGTTAACAATGGCACAACAAAGAGGCACATTTGACAGAACCACTCAGAGCTCAGGTTTGCCACTTACCTTGGAGCTGGTGGCCTCACTCATCACTGTGCAGGACCCACCAACTTGGACACTCAGGTTCTGAAAATCTTGATTTTCATCAAAGACAAATAGACAATGCTTAAGAGGTAAGTAAAGAAAAATAAGAAGCTGACTCATTTGTTTAAGTGCCACCAACACACTAAGCACAGCCCACAACTGGGGACACAACAGGGAAAGAGATGGGTCCTTTGTTACACATTCAGCTTGGGGGAATCCAGACATGAGCCAGAGTACCACCACACAGGGAGAGCAAGGCTGTGAGCATTAGCAAGAGTGGAGTTTGTAACCAGAACCCACAGCTGGGAGGAAGAAAGACAGTGACACAGCCTCTCAGGGACAAGCTGGAGGAACCAGGCAAAGCAAGGAGAAGCCACACGTTCACCCTGCCAAAGACTGTAGAAGTCCAGAAATGAAAGGAAAGCCATGTTCTCAGAGCATTTGATGAGAGCAGAGGGGCTATGGAGGAGAGGGCCAAGCAAAAGGGCTCCTGCTCACCATGAAAACCACGGAAGCCTCAGAATCTACAGTGACAACCAAGTTCACACCTAGGAGAACTACCTGTGTCCCATACAGAGAGAAGGAAACAGAGGCAGACAACGGCAGGCGAGAGCTGGAGGTTGTGGGGTATAGGTAACTGTTCTATCTTTCTAGGGCTGGGGATATGGGTAACTGTTCCTAAGTTTCTGCGGGGGAAAGACTGAGGAAGAACTCAGGGGTAGACAGAGGGACTCCTGTAAGTTGTCTAGACACATGTCAAGTGCTCAGAAGGAACTGTCAGCAGTGCTAACAGAAGTATATGTGAGGGAAAAGGCCTGTGGAAGCCTGTGTAGGAGCCAGAACTACAGGGAAGGAGGACCTCACAGAAGACAGGCACACAAGGGTGGAGGGGGGTCTTTAAAAGAGCCTAACACATGGATGAAGGGAGAGCTTCACATAATCCCAACACACAAGGATGGTTTGAGGACCGTGCAGAATCCTGAGCTATGAGGATGGAGGGGGAAACTCACAGGAGCCTGACACTCACACTTGAGGGGTGGAGGGACCCACCTATGCTCAACATCCCTAAAGAGCAGAACTGAAGTCGTGCCTTCAGATTCAGCAGTACAGAGGTTACTGATGACCTGAGCAAGTGCCATGTTGGTTATGATTAACCTGTCCTCAATTTCAAATGGTGGGGCTTTCTACCCCAAACCTTTACTGTGCCATCTATTCTAGGAAAACTATCAAGTTGTAAGAGACAGACTTCCAAGATTACCGAACTCATATTCTTACCTTGAAATGTAAAGCAGCTTCCAATTCAAAGTTTGCCAAGTTAAATATGAATAAAGCAGTCGAGCTTCCAATCCACAGGCATTTGGCATACTCCAAAGAAAATCTTAAAAAAAAAAAAAAGAAAGAAAGAAATAGTCTTCCTTCAGGTTAGCTCCTAACACCTCCCAGCATCCTCCTACTTCACCCTCTACTTCTCCACCAATGGCAGCAGAGCACTCTTTACCACAGTTAAACTGGAATTTTGTGCTGAATACTCAAGGCCGCCGCTCCTATCTACTGGAGACAAGCTCCAACGGCCGCAGCATGGCCACAGCTAAGCTATGACCTGTGGGGGGGGGGGTTCTTCTCTACAAAAGAAGTTGATGGCTAAGTCATTCAGGAGCTGATGATGTGATGATCTGGGCATGTGCTCAGCCTGATGCCACCTTGGTCCTTAGACCTAAAGGTGCTACCACATACTTTTGTAAAGGCAGAGATAAGCTCAGAGAAGAGCTACCTGCCCCATAGTGGCAGAGCACATCAAAACGCAAACATAGGTCTGTCGCTATCAATAAGCCTCATTCAAGCTAGATTAGAATCAGAAATTCTCTCCCAGCTGGAACTTGCTCTCCCATTTCCCTCGAACACTTGAGCAGCTGCCAGCCTCATCAATGAAGCAGTCAGCAGGCATTGCTTCCTCAGACCCATGCTACAACCAGCTCTGCCCCATGCTGCCTGACAAGTCACAGGAAACAGGAATCAGTAGTATAATGTTAGATTTTCCCCTACAGGAGCTCCCACTGCTCTGAGGTAGAACAGGAGGAGTCCTGTGTGTCCAGTCCTAGAACCAGCCCCACAGCACAAGGCCAGCCTTGTCCCTGTTTTGCCCCCATGCCTTTTACCTGCAGGGAGTGCTCTGTTCCCTGGCCCGGCAATGCAGAGCTTGCATTTCTGAGCTCTCTTCCATCTCAATCAACCTCTCCATATACAGCTGAATTCACAAACACTAAGGCTGCCCAGCTTTCTCAGGAGGAAAAGTAAGTTTTCAGAAAATGCCTCCTTATGTTCCCAATATTTCTATCATCAAAGAAATAAATGAGTAGAATTCATTTGAGATCAATATAAATGAATGACACATGGAACAGTAGGGAGGCAGGAGAGTTCAGAGGTAGGACTCTCGTGCCCCAGTCTAAAAAAGGCCACAACAAAGGTAACCATCTGCCTACAGTTCAGAAATAAAATTAATACATCTACTTATTTTTACCAGAGGCTTGAATAAAACTGATCAAATTTATCAAATCTAAGACTTAAAATGTATAATTCCGGGAACACTTACAATCAATCCTAATGACAGACATGAACTTGGTATTTGTTTTAAGTATTCTGCCTTAACCCAATGCTCAGTTAAGGAACTCGGAAGACTTCTGCCCATGGCTTTGGCCCCATTCATCATACATCCACTCCACACTGGGAGTCTGATAGGCAGGGAAGATCACAGTGCACCAGGCTCAGGACAGACAGTGCTGCTTCAGCCTCTTCCCCTTCATCCATCTCATTTCTGGAGTGGTACTGACTGCTTTCTAGAGAACAGAGTTACTGATAATCTGAAGAGAAACTGCTTATCAATCAAAATTAATAGAAAAGAACCAACTCAGGGATGTTTCAGAAAGAACATGTTCCTACAATGAATCCTGAGTCAGAAAAACACTTAGGCTTGAACACTGAAAAATGGGCTGAAAATAAAATTTGCACCCCAGATTCTGAGTCTGTATATGGGAATGGGAAGAGTCCATGAAAAGAGGTTAACTCCACAGTTCCTAAAATGGATCTAAGGTGAACCTAAAGAATGAGTAGTTGTAAGAAAAATAGCAAATGCATTAGAAAAAAAAAAACAGTTATACTGGATAGGAAAGCAATTTCTGACCTAATAGAAAAACAAAACATTTAAAAGCATACAAAACTACCAACTAAAGAAGGAAAGACTACAAATGTGTAAGGAGGCAGAGGGCAAGAAAACCAACACCAACTACCCAGGCCCTCAACCTCACTGACACCAGAAAATATTTTCTGGCCCATTGCCAACACTTTTGGTGACCAATGACAGGTGAACAGAGATGTAGGGAACTGTGGACAAGCAGGAGCAGAGCATATGAGGCGCTGGAGGTGGAGGTGGAGGTAGGATCTGTGAGGTGAAGAATACAGGTGAGGAGCTGGAGGTGGAGGTGGGACCTAAGACACGAAGGACAAGATGGGTCGGCACATGAAGCTGAAATAGCTCCCTGGGGAGCAGTGTAGCAGCCTGTTCAGAGGCATCATTCCTGATACTGGAAGGCCTATCCTCATGGGCTCCTGATCTCATGACAACAACCCAAAGGTTTATGTCCTCCTGACCTCTGAGCCTCTGTCCCCCATGCAGCAGCACTTTTGTCTGTGAGTCAGTCTCCAGCCTGGGGCACAGGACCTACAGGGCTCAGTGGTATCAGAGGTCACAATGCTCAGCCTTTCCCAAATCAGGAACTTCCCCTGTTTCCCTCACCACCCTGTCTAACAGAGGCCCTGATGTGTGCCCTTGAATGCTGTGTCCATGTAGGCAGCCTTTTGGGCCCAAGCAGCACACCTGGCAGGCTACACGGTACAGCCTTCAAACTTCGGGTGGATAAAGTCTCACGTTTCTTCATTAGGTCCACATGTGCCACATGGTGGTAGTGACGTCTCTCTGTCAAACTGAAGATCCACAGCTACAAAAGCAAAACACATAGACATGTTATCTCTTGCAACTAGTGATACATATTATGAAAAGGCAGTAAAACCCAGACAGGAAAGTGAGTTTAGAGTAGATAATTCATGTACAATGTGCCCCTGGCCTGCCCTAAGATACTTTGGACTCTCATCCTAAATGACATTCTTAAGACTTCTTCTCTGTGAAAGCCCCACAGCCTCAGATCACCTACTCCCAAGGTTCAGAACCTAAGGTCAGGCACAGCTATAACCCATTGCCATACAGGTTTCCTCAAGACATACCACCTATGGTTACACCCAGACCTTGCCTCTGAGCCATAAGCACTTCTACCATGTCACTGGGTACCAACACACAGGACAATAGCAGTTCTGCTTATGAAGAAGAAAATAAACTATCTTGGCTTCCAAAAGTATTTCTTTGTCATATTCATATCAGCAGCACCTTTAGCCATGCCTGTGAAATAAACCTAAAGGGTCCAGACTATGAAAAAACTTTAACATAAGTATCTTCAATTTTAAAAATCATAAAGCTGATAGTAAGGGTTGAGCAAGTGGCTCTCGACTTTTGCTATATTCAAGTACCATGTGGCACTTTCAGAAGATATAGATCAGAGGCCATTTTACAGACCAACAAGCCCCCAAGGCCCCACCACAGTGCTGAGATGCACAGTGAGACACAGCCCAGCAGTGAAACACACTGCAGGTGACAATATAGCACAGAGACAGAGACCTGGGTACATGCTCATGTTCAACAATGCTTTAAACTCACATGCAACTGCATGGGGTCTTACCTGGCCATCAGCAGACCCAGTAACCAGCTTCTGGTTTTCCTCATGAATAAATAAACTCAGGAGAGGATATGCTGTGGAGGGAGTAGAGGTCAGTCAGCATGGACAGTGCTTCTTCCAGTAGATTTAGTACTGTTCTGAAGCAATTTTCATACAGGAGGAAAAAATTTTAAGTGAATCCAAATTTGGAAAACTCCATGAGCAAGAGAGAATGAAGGAAGTTGTCCCAATAAAAAGCACTATGGCTGTGAATTAGGGCCAGCTGCTGGCAGAGCCTGGTGTGAGTCCATCCCATCCACCCAGCCTGTGCAGGTCCAGAGCAACTGCCAACAGCCTTTTGACCTGTAGGAAGGCAGGTCTGCTGAGCCAGCACCTCCCACAGGGCAGAACAGAGACTGTTGGCCAGGAACAATGAACTCAAGGACTTAATGATGAAAAGAGTGATTAAATGGATGTCTTACTTCTTTAAAATTTTCAGCCTAAAATTTCTTTCACTTTAAACTTAGTCTAAGCTATCAAGAATTTGGAATTAGGTAAACAGAAGTTTGAAAACACTGAATGCCATAATTTAGCAATAAATGGCATCCAAGGTGAGTCTAGAGTGGTGTTCCTCAGTCAAATTTCTCCACAAGATTGACTTCAGAAAAATCCAGTTTCCATATAATGTGCTTCTACACATGGGCAAAATGTGCCCCAGAAGTCTCTCTCTCTCTCTCTCTCTCTCTCTCTCTCTCTCTCCAAATGTTAGAGAGAAAATGTACAAACCAGAAGACCAGAAGACCTACAGTAGAAATCAGCCACACACACCTGTGTAACCAGTTATTGACTTCATTTCCCAACAAAAAGACCTTTGAGAAAAGCACACAATTACCCTAGAATTCATAAGGTGAACAAATGCTTCCAGTCTAACCAATGGGTGTCATGCTGCCTGCTCCTTATCACTCACTGGTGAAGAGGGTCTGCCCTCCTAATTCCTCTGGCTTTGGAACTCTCCCAGGGAAGCAAAGGGCTCTGCATTGGGTACTTATTTGAGAGCCAGCATACTCTACATACTTTATTGAATGTAAGTTAAAAACTTTAGGGACATTAACAGTGAAGGGCAGTCATCCCTCGGATGGAAGAGAGTAAGTGGCTATGAATGGGTGAGGCTGATGGACTCAAACCACTGGCTGTCCACCTCCACCTCTGCAATAATAGACACACCGAGATAATTTTATTACACAGCCTACTCACCAAGAATGTAGAAGATTCTTTCATTTACCTGTTAAGATGGATGAACTGTATATTAATGATCCCACAAAATGGTCCCAGACCTTTGAACAAAAGACATTTCTTTTAAAAGAGGTAAAAATATTGCCATTATTGATAAACCATGAACTACATGTTATAGAATTAAAAATTAATCTATGTAAATGTGCTGGATAGCTTTAGTGTCAACTTAACACACCTGGGTTGAGGGAGCCTCACTTGGGGAATTGCCTCCATAGGACTGGCCTGTGGCCATGTCTGTGGGGCATTTTCTTGATTGTTGAGTGATGTGGGAGGGCCCAGCCCACTGTGGGTAGTGCCACCCCTGGGCAGATGGGCCTGTGTTGGATAAGAGAGCAAGCTGAGCAGGGACCAGGGGAACAAGTGAGTAAGCAGCACTCCTCCATGGCCTGTGCTCCAGCTCCTGCTTCCAGGTTCCTCCCCTGAGTTCCTACCTTGGGCTCCCTGATGAACTGCGACCTGGGAGATGTAAGCTGAATAAACGCTTTCCTCCCCAAGTTGGTATTGGTCAGAGTATTTTGTCACAGCAATGAAGAACAAACTAGGACAGAAATTGGTACCAGAGAGTGGGATATTGCTGTGAAAGACCTGACCTTGGTGTTTTTGGAACTTTGGGCTGGAAAAGCCATTGCGTGCTCAGAGTTTGTTGCTGTGGAGCTTGGAACAGTTATGCTGAAACAGTTGTAGACGATGGAGGCCTGGCTTGTGAAGCTTCAAAGGGAAGCGGAGACCATCAGGCCTGTTTGCTAGAGATTTTAGATTGAGAACCTGTGGGTTATGGTTGGCTGGGGCTGAAGAATCAGCTGTGATTAAGAAGAGACCAGAACCTGAAGCAAAACCTTTGCTTTACTGGGACAATTGATGCTGGTTAGCTGGGGTTGAAAAATCAGCTGTAAGTAACAAGAGACCAGCATCACTGTGGTGGAGTCTTCTGGGAAGTAGTTCCTTAGGGTCAGCACACAGAGGTGACCCGCACCTCTATTTCAAGCTGGAAGCAGGACTTGGTAATGTGTAAGAGTCTCCTGCATGGTTCTGGTGTTGAAAGCGTGAAGGGGTCATAGAGAGCAGCTGAAGCTTGGCACTCTGAGAGGCCAGGAGAGGCCATGGGTGAAAGTGCAGCTTCAGTTGCAGTTAAGACCCCAGGATTGAAGGGGTCATGGAGAGAAACTGAGGCTTTGCACCCCAAGAGGCAAGAAGAGGCCATTGGTGAAGGTGTAGCCTCAGTTTCAGTGGCGACCCCAGCTTTTTGGAGATGCCAAGACCATGGGATGACCACCAAGGACAGCAGTAGGTGTGGAATGGAGCTGGCCTGGGTCTGTGAGATGAGCTGTGTG